AGGGGCGCGCTGTCACATCTGGGTATGATTTGTTCCTCCTCATCCTGCCCGTCTGCGCAAACGTGCCTGTGTGCGGGCTCGTCGGAAACCTAATCAGCACGGTGCAGGAACGAAGAGGGTCCGAAGGCGGGAAGGCGAAAGAGAAATGGGAAGGGACTGGAGGCGGAAAGGTGAACGAAGAAGTGCGCAACTCATTTTCAGAATTGCCGCGCTCACGAACGTGACTGTTCCCACCGCGGCTCGCACCTCCGAGCATCTCCTCAACGGCACGGGCGCCGGGCGTCCACTACTCAACAGCCTGCCCAAGGAACCGCACAAAAACTTCGCGGGGCGACCACGGGAGTAACCCTCGCATGAGATCGACAAGCCTTCTCTCTGCCCTCACCGCTGGTGGCCCGCGAGCCGCGCGTTCGCGCGTTCAGTGGCCACCCGTCTCTCTTGCACCAGAGGCCTCTTCGATGGGGTCGGAGTAGGAGGGGGTCGGAGGCTCGCGCCGCATCGCCGATACATCGGCGATGCATCGGCGATGCGCTGGCGATGCAGCGTCGACGCCGACGATGCGTCGGCGACGCCGATGTGAAGCAAATTCGGGCTGCACATCGAGCCGCATCGACGATGCATGGGCGATGCGGCGCGATCCTCCGACCCCATCTACTCCGACCCCCTCTGGGAAGCCTCGATGAACTCTCTATCCAAGAACTGTTGGAGAGAGGCCAGCTGGCCCCGACTTCGCTCCACGCGTTATCCGCATTGCGTGCGGTGCATGCGCGCACGGCTGCGCCTGGGCCTCCCGTCGTCTCTCGCGGCGGGGCTGCGCCTTCGCATCTCGCCGCCCGTCGCGCCTGCCTAGCATCGGGCCGCCTCTGTCCAAGGCCACGTCCGCCACTCGCGCGCGATCGCCGAGCGCAGGCCACATGGCCCTTCTCGTGGCCCCATGCCCGCTGCTTCCGCTGATCCCCGTGCTGGGGCTGATCATCTTCGGGCTCAGCTAGGTCAGCTTCGCCATCGGCGTCCGCTCGCACTTGCCCTCCGTGTCGTAGCTGTTCGTCATCGGGCCCGCCTTCGCCGTCCACGGCTGTTCGCGCACGTTGAGCCTGCCACGGCCCGTCCCCTTGAAGCGGCAGGCGCCCGTCCTGATTGCGCGCGCCGTCCCCATGCTGCCGCTGCCCGCCCTTCTTGCGCGAACGGTCGGGGCCTCCTTGAAATGTCTCCACCTGGCTTTCTCGCAGTTCTCACACGCGCTGGTCTGTTCCTCCTGAGGCTGCCACTGCCCAACCTTCGCTCATTGCTGAGGGAAGGAGAGCCTGTTTCGCCAGCGTCCTCGCATTCGTAAGCGCCAGTGTAGAGCCACAGGGAGGGCTCCCACCTGCGTCGCGCCGCCTTTTTGCGGCGCGGAGCTGAATCGGTGGCCGCCCACGCCTTCCGAACGGGTTCGCAATCTGCGATTTCAGCCTCGACTCTGGGCTGAAACGTCGCCTACCCCCCACAGTAGCTGATCACATGTTGGCTCCGCTTCGCCTTCTATTTGTTCTGCGTCCTTGCACGCGATGGCCACTTCGTCGTGAGACTGGCACTGCCCGTCCGTCTCGTGCACGCCGCCCCCTTGACACTGCAAGTGCTCGCCCTTCTCGCGCGCACCATCCTCTTGAAATGCCACTGCCCGTCCGTCTCGCACGCACCCTCCTGACGGCGCCACTCCCAAACCTCTACGTGCGCACCATCCCCTGCAGACTGCCACGGACAGTCCGTCTCACATGTATCAATATCTTGAAGCTGCTAATGCCCGTCCTTCTCGCATGCACCATCCTCGTGAGACCGCCAATGCCCGTGCTTCTCGCAAGCGCCATCCTCTTGAACCGCTGCCAATCCATTCCGCACGTGCCCCCTTCTTGGGGCTTCCACTGCCCGTCCTCCGCGCAAACACTACCCTCGCGGACCTTCCGCTGCCCGCACTGTCGAAGTCGCCACTGCCCGTCCTGCCCACGTCCTGCACTCTTGAAGCGGACAATGCCTATCCGATCGGGCCCCCCCCTGCGCCTGCCCTGTCGCGCGCGGGCGCCGTCCTCTCGGGGCTGCCGCTGCACCACTGCGCCGCCCCTCCGTGTGGCGCCGCGCCTGCTCGCAGATCCCCGCTCGCGGGAGGCTCCACCAGGACTGCTGCTGGACCTGGGGGCCCCCGCCCCGCTCCACCAGGCGTGGCGTGGCCAATCGGAGCACGCGGTCCGCACACTTGCTGCTGCTGCCAGGCACTGCCGTCGTGGGTCGCCCCTCTCCGCTGCATGGCCCGCACCGCGGCTCCGCCAACATCCCCACGCACAACTTCGGCGTCGGGGCTGAGGGCGTCAGCTCCGCGGGCCGCCCGTCGGAAACGGGCTGAACCACGCTGCTGAACCACCTGCAAAGAAACGCGCGGATGAAACGGAAGGAGAAGGGGGAGGAGGGAAGGGGAAAGGGATAAGGGGAAACGTGGAAACATAAGGTGAGGGCAAAGGGCGAATGCCAACAAAAAGGAACCGACAAGAGGACAGGTGGGGTTACCCCGGCCATGCCATCTTCCCCTGGACCTAGATGTGGGGGGTCGCGAGTCGCTGGGTCAAAGAAGGCCTCAGCGAGAAGGCAACAAGCATTGAGTGGCCTGAGGTTTTGGGCCTTTGTTGACCTCCTGGTGTGTTGTCTAATTGAGTATCCACCCTTCGTTGATCGAACTCCTCTAAGATGGTCCCCCAAAGCTCTCGAGTGTGCCCCTACAGAGCCCCAAGAGGGACCCAGGGGGGCCCAAGAGGCTCCCAAGAGACCCTAAGAGGGCCAACGAGGCTCCCCAGAGGCACCAAAAACGCTCCAACAGGCCCTGGGAACGCCACGAGGTCCCCAAGACTCCCAAAAGGACATCAAGAAGCTCTCAAGAGGCATCCGCAGAGACTCCCAGAGGCGTCCCATAGGCCTCAGACCTGCCTACTCACCCTCCTCCTCCTCCTCCTCCCTCCCTCCCTCCCTCCTCCCTCCCTCCTCCCTCCCTCCCTCCTCCCTCCCTCCTCCCTCCCCTCCCCTCCCTCCCTCCCTCCCTCCTCCCTCCCTCCCTCCCTCCCTCCCTCCCCCTCCCTCCTCTCCCTCCCTCCCTCCCTCCCTCCCTCCCTCCCTCCCTCCTCCCTCCTCCTCCTCCTCTCCTCCTCCTCCTCCTCCTCCTCCTCCTCCTCTCCTCCTCCTCCTCCTCCTCCTCCTCCTCCTCCTCTCCTCCTCCTCTCCTCCTCCTCCGCTCCTCCTCCTCTCCTCCCTCCTCCCTCCTCCTCCTCCCTCCCTCCCCCCTCCCACTCCTCCTCTTCCTCCTCTTCCTCCTCTTCCTCCTCCTCCTCCTCGTCCTTCCATCCTGCTGGCTTGGTGTATGACGGTTCCCAAGCCTTTCATTACACTGCATGTTCCTCCACATCCCTGATCAGGGCAACTCGCCTGGGCATCGTTTATGGATGGACTGACGGGGTTACGCGAAGCGTCTAAGCTTGGTACGGGAGAGGACGAGAAGGAGCAACCTCATCAGGGAGCAGCACGAGGAGCAGGAAGGATGGGGAGAGTAAGAGGGGAGGGGAAGCGACAGATCGGGGGGGCCAGGTGCACTCGCGCCCGATCTGACATTTTACCCCTCCCACCCGTCCTGTCACATTGCGATGTGTTGTCTCAATCCGCCGACGGATACCCCAGCGGACGTGGCTCCCCCCTTGATCCCGTCATGTGATGCGCAATCATAACAGGTTGCGCTGTGTGCAGTAGAGGAGGAAAACATTGCGGATAAACACGAGGATGACCAAACGCTGACTACTGCATTCCGTGTTTCGCCACATTGCAAAACACATGTGGGGAGGGATCCGGGCCGTGCGTTAGCCGATCTGATTGGATCAGGTACCGAAGCGAACAAACACAAGTTGGAACAGCGCTTCAACCACGATTGATACCAATGCTGGTACGATCGTAAACTCACTGCACCTGAGAACGTCATAATGCAATGCAATCGGGACCATACAATGCAAGGCACAACAAGTAAGCATCACGTATCAGAACATCCGCCAAACCAAATCGATGTGTAAGTCCGCCACATAATATAATCGATGTGGGAACTTCCACAACGGAATCGTCGAGTGAACCCCTCCAGAGCGAGGTGCTCCGAACGCTGGCGACCTGTCACCAGAGACGCTCTCGAAAAGGGACTCACGATTGAGGGCATCAACGATTCGCGCTCCTTCGACGGAGGGGGGGCACGGCGCCCACTTCACTCGATTGAAACAACCTTCACCAGCAGCAAACATCTGCTCTTGGGGGAGGAGCGGGGGGCCTCATGCCGATCGGTGAAAACAACAAAGCACAAACGCTCAAGAGGAAGAGGAGAATGAGGAAGGAGGCACGGCAGAGCAGGACAAGGAGTGAGGAGTGAGAGGGCCAAGGGCAAGCGGGCGAGGGGAAAGGAAGGAGCGGCAACGACGAGGACGGAATTAGATTCAGGGCGCCGATCCTGAAGTGTGGCCCGCGCTGCAGCGGGAGGATCATCTTTCAAAGACTGAGCATGTTCTGATGAGGAAACGCAAGACTGAAAGTCAACTCTGGAATCTGTTGCGTGGAAAAAAAAACGATATGCGAGAAAAACTAAGCACAGCAACATGAAAGACGGAACGTCGTACTAACCTTTTTGTACGTATACATTGGGAGGGGTAAGAAGGGGCAGCATCAAGATCAAGCGGGGCAGGAATATGACGAGATGTAGGGGAGGCGGAAGAGAACAAGACTGGGGAACCAACAGAAAGCAGGATTCACGAAACGTACTTCTTCACACAATACGAATGTATGAAGTTGGGGATGGTGAAAAGGAAGGTGGACATGGCAACGACGAGGCCGACGACCAGGAGCATGAGCAAAGAACAAACAATGCACAAGCGTCGAGGAGTGGCGCATGGTCACCCGTTTGAGGGAGAAGCGGCAAAGAGAACGGGTGCAAGACCAATGATGGTAAGGTGACAAGGCGTCAGAACAGCATCACGCGCCGTGGCAGGACTGCCCTCGTCCTCTCCTCCTTCTCCTCCTTCTCCTCGCACTCCTCGCCTCTGTGGCCATCATCATCATCACCATCGCCCTCGTCATCGTCAACGTCATCAAACTATTCGTTTTCGTCGTCGTCATCCTCATCATCAGCATTAGCACCATCGCCAACAACATCTCCATGGCCAAAGTCATTAGCACTAGCGTCAACCCTGGCCCCAGCCCCAGCATCAACATCGTCATCGTCATCGCCGGCGTCAGGGTCATCAATATCGGCATCAGCATCACAACCATCATGACCACCGTCATCATCGTAAACATCATCATCATCGTCACCATCATCAACATCGTCATCATCTTCGTCATCCTACTCATCATCCCCAGCAGCATCATCATCATCATCAACATCACCACCACAACCACCTCCATCATCATCGACAACAGCATCATCGTCATTAATCCCATCCTCCTCATCATCATCAGCATCATCGTCATCGTCATCATCATCGTCATCATCATCGCCATCATTATCAACTTCGCATCAGCACCATCATCGTCAACGTCAGCATGCGCATCATTAGTATGATGACCATCTTCATCCCGCAATCACCATCATCATCCACATCATCAGCATCAGCATCAACATCATCACCCTCATCATCATCGTCATCATCAACACCATCGTCATCAGCATCGTCACCATCTCAACGTCATCATCATCGTCACCATCAGCATCATCGTCACCATCACGATCAGCATCACCATCACAATATTCACCACCACCATCATGATCATCATGATCATCATCATCATCATCATCATCATCATCATCATCATCAGCACTATCATCACTATCATCACTATCATCACTATCATCACTAGCATCATCAACATCATCATCATCATCATCATCATCATCATCATCATCATCGTCATCATCATCATCATCATCATCATCATCATCATCATCTCCCTGCGCCATAAGCCCAACACATCGCATTCAGTTGATGTTTCTACGACCTGCCAGAGCAGAAGCGGGCAGCCATTCCACCGCCCAGGGGCTCGCGACCAGATGGGAAGGAAGAGGAGACGCAACTCTGACGACTAGGGGCAGACCAAGAGCATGACGAAGAAAGGGATGAACACCCGTGCTGGGCGGCTGCTGGGCTGGTGATGAAAATAGATAGTGGGACTCAGCGACCAGGAAGAAAGGCGTCTAGTCTCCGCCACAAGGCACTGCTCCTACCCTCGCCCAGCAACGCTGACAAGAAAAACGCCTGGGGCACAGCTTGGCAATACCGCAGCAAATCTTACAGAATTCGGCGGCACCCACGAGAAGCCACACACGCCGAGCCAAGAGGCTCTGGCACGTGAGACTGTCATCATGGAGCGCACATCCCAGTCGTCAATGAACAGACGCAGGAAGGTCCGTTGCTACATCGGCTGGCGCGTTTTCCACCAGTCACGAGCCCTACGGAGAACGAAACGTGCGTGGAGTGCAATGCGCGCACACGATCTCTCCCTCAGTTCGAGGCCCCAAACGGCTGCGCCGAGGCTTTGGCACCGCTCCTCGCTCACAGCCTTGGAGCCTCCTGCCAATGCTTCACCGCAACAACCAAATCTGCTTGAACATCCATGTCGGCGGTGTCCTCAGCCGGAGTCTTGCCGCGCCCGTCAGTCTTCGTAGGGTCGGCCCCAGCATCCACAAGCGCCGCCACGCAGGCGCGGTGCTGGTAGAAGGCGGCATGGTGCAACGGTGTCTGCTGCTTGCTGTTGAGGACGTTGACGTCGGCTCTGGCCTCTATCAACGCCGACACCACGGTGGCATGCGCCTGATTGCATGCCCGGTGCAGCGCGGTGTTACCAGATCTTCCAGGCGCGTCGACGGGGCATCCGCGCTCCACCAGCAGTCGGATGGCTTCGGCATGTCCAGCGTTTCCAGCCCAAACAATGGGCGGGTTGCCTTGGTCGTCTGGCGCAACCAGCGCCTGGTGGCACAGCGAGGCGAGGACGTCAGTGTTGCCAGCGTGGGCTGCCGAGTGCGCAACTGTCGCCACGCCCTCTGTTGGGGCCAGTGGATGGAACGACCGCGTCCTGAAAGCTGCGGCCGCGCCGACGGGCGTCAGCTGCCTCACCAGGTGCTCGGCTGCAGCGACGTCCACACCGGGCGCCTCCACGCAGGTGACCTCCACGTTGCCCGCAGGGAACGCCGCGCAGGCCGCCCGCACAAAGGAACACACCGCCTCGAAGCCCTCCGCTGGGCAGAGGCTCCTACCCCCGACGCGCGGGCGCATCGCACACCGGTGCCGCGCCGGCCCCGCCGCGTTCAGCGCCACGCTGACTCTGGAGAAGCCGGCGCTCGTAAGCTCGGGGACGATGTCGCGGGCGTGCTGCAAGCTTCCCAAGCCGTTCGTGTTCAGCCGGAGCTCGGGTGCCAGGCCGCGCAGCCGCGAGCCCAGAGCCACGAGGGTCCCGAGGCGCATGGTGGGCTCGCCCAGGCCAGCGAACACCACCGCGTCCGCGGGCTCGCGCGCAAGCTCGCGCTGCACCTCTTGGAAGAGCTCCTCGTCGGAGGGTTCTGCGCCAGGGCGCACCCCAGCAGGCAAGAAAACGGTTTTGAAACCAGGACCTCGCGACTGGATCAGTGTCACGGAATTGGCCGAGGCTGTCACGTGGACGTAGAGCGCGCGGCCGAGCCGGTAGCACCACATGGGCTCCGCAGCACGGCCTGAAGCTCCAGCGCTTACCGTATCCATGGCAAAACACTCTCCTGAGCTAAAATCTGGTGATTACTGGGACGACTCCTCAGCTTTGCAGAATGACACTCGCAGCAAAAATCCGCCACTGTGCATGGCGCACCCAGAAGGGCGCGCTTACGTTTATAACATTCTGGCTGGTAGAGGGACTTTAGGTTCTGACGGATCCAGTAGCCCTCTGGACGTATATGGCTTACAGCGATTCCTCTTCCAACTCCTCTTCCCCTTCGAGGACAGTTTACCCCTCACCTTATTCCGCTGGAAGACGTACCTCCTCGCCCAGCCGCCGCGCGAAGAGGGTGTTTGCATACCTCCCAGGCGGCCCTCTTTGGGGCCTCTCGGGAGACATCCTGGCAGCCTGTGTGGACCTCCTGGGAACTTGTGAACGTCTTGCAGGCCATTCGGGACTTCCTGGGGCCGTCACGGGCCTGTGAGGCACCCAAGACGCTTGACTCCGTTCGCATGTTCGAAGTTTGGGCGGTAATGGAGCCCTACCGTGGGCTTATTGGGGCTCGCTCGATGTCCGCTTGGGAGCCTCTGGGGTCGTCTTGGCTCCCTCCCGGGGCTCTGTTGTGGCCCCCTTGAGGCTACCGTGAGGCATCAAGAGCTTACGTGGACAAACAATGCGGCGGAACTGGCAAACGCCCGTACACACCATCACGTTTTTCACTGATTAGGATCTATCGGGTGCCATGGTGGTGGCGCCGAGGGGCCATATTGCGCCGACCTGACCGCTGTCTTGTCCTGTCCTGTCTGGTCATACCATGTCTGGCCGTATGGGGCCGTCTTGACGGCGTCTTGGAGCCCACCCTTCGCTGGTTTCGTAACCGCCCGTCCACTCGCCCAGCTTGTTAGGGACATCCATTCCCTGGGTCTGCAATGGGGGTGCGAGGGGTAAGGGCTTCAAAGATGGCCCAGGATGGCTGCAGGCTGGCGCCGGGTAGCCCAAGATGGCCTCGTCGATGGCGCAGGATAACGCAGCATGGCGCAAGATGACCCCAGCTTGCATCCAACAGCCCCCAAGACCGCTGCAGTGTGGCTCTCAATAGCCACTGAGCCTCGCAAGGATTCCCCCGAGACGACCCCGAACATTCGAAAACCTGCCGCTGCTCTTCACAAGACCAGCGTTGGCGTGGCCAGTGGCTCGCGCCCTTTGTCACGTACGAATCCCCCGTGTTCCCGAGGCCACGACCAACCGTGAATTACGAAGGAGCCAATGCCCCTTGGTCCTCATAGAAGCACTGCAAAAGGCTCGCGCCCACTCTTAAATCATGCCTAGATGGCCGAAGTCGATCCAACGCACCCTCCAACATGCTTCCAACAGGCCCGAGGCGGCGACAAACCTTCCCGAGAGTGACCTCGAGATGCCACCGACATCTGTCGAACACCAAAGACGGGAAGTCACCTGCGAATGCTTTCCTCGTGGCCAGGGCATGCTCCTCCTCCTCCTCATCCCTTTCCTCCTCTCTTCGTCCTCCTCCCCTTCATCCGCTTACCCATTCCAAACATCAGTCCTCCGCGTCGTCCGCTCACTGATTCCAATGATAGTGTCGTCGATGTCGCCCATTACGTACCCCATCCTGGATCCTTCACATCCTTCTTCACCCGTCTTCCTCCTCCATCCGGCACCTCCTTGTTCTCCATGTTTCCCCATCTGCCTTTTCCTCCTCTCATGGATCTGCTCAGACTGATCCCGAGCTTTAGCTTACTGGCTGCCTCACACTTCCTGTCCAACTGCATGCTCCTACGCTTCCCTGGTTCTGGATGGGCTGGTGGTAATACGCGACGCGTCTAGAATTTCAAAGCCCTTCCCAGCCCTTCCCAAGTGTGCCGCGGGACTTTGCGCAGTTTGTGCAATCCTGAACAAACTTACGTTATCCAATTTTCAAAAGGGGTGCTTAGCTGTTTGCCCGTGAGCTTTCCCACCCGAGTGCCCATAAACGTCCCACCCACAACTGCCTAAGACTCTGAAAGAGGGTTCCAAGATGACTCGCCCCAATATGACTCCAAAGAGGGACTCAAGAGGCAACAATTCTTGATTTGCTTAGGTTTTCGAATGATTCTCGCGTTCTCACCTTTTCGGGCGTCTGCAAGCCCTCAACGGCGCGAGCGGCCTCCCAGACTGGCCCGAGACAGCCCACAGAGGCCCAAAGACGGGCGGAAGGGCCTTCAAGAGTGGCCCAATAGAGGCTCAAGGCAATGGCGGCAACCGCAGCGACGGCTGCCAAGACCGCACTGAGGCTCCCGCGGCAGCTGCCGCCAGAGACGCTGGGAGGCCCCGCGAATGACGCACTGGAGCACGAGACGGGTGCCAGTGACGAACGCACGAACGCAAGAGGCATCACTTCCGACTATACCTCCGCATCCTCCTGCTCCGCCCCATCCTACTTTTCCTCCCCCCCTCTCCGGGCCTCCCCTCTCCTCTCTCCTCCTGCCTCCCTCTTCACTCTTCCCTGAACCTCCTCCCTCCTCTTCCCTCCTCTTCTCCCCTCTTCTTCTTTTCTCCCTCCCTCCGTCCTCCTCCTCCTCCTCCTCTTCTTCCTCCTCCTCCTCCTCCTCCTTCTCCTCCTCCTCCTCCTCCTCCTCCTCCTCCTCCTCCTCCTCCTCCCCCTCCTCCTCCTCCTCCTCCCTGCCGCACCACGAAGCCGGTCGACAGGCTGGGACGGGCATTGCGCCTGAGACTTCCTCACCACGTCTGGCCCTGAAATTTCAAAGTTGGCAAAAGTTTCGCAGATGGAGGGCGGGCAGTTTTCGAAATGTGGATATCGCCTTAACACCGCGCACAACATTCTTTGTCAATTTCAAAAAATTTGCAAGAGCTTCGCGGATTGAGGGCGGGTGGTTGTCAACATGTGGCTCTCGCTTGCACGCCGCACGCACTCGTCCTAAAAATGTGCAAGGGCTTCACGGATTGAGGCGGGCCATTTTCCAAATGCGGCTGTCGGCTTCGCGCCGCGCGCACCCAGCTTGAAACATTCAAAAGTTTCAGAAAAGTTGAGGGCGGCTCCATTTCAAAATGTGGTTTTCACGTAGTTCCATGGACAACGAACCAACAAAGGTGTCCTGGAGCGATTTCGGATTGTCAGGGCGCAACAGTTACGTTGATTCGCAATTCTGAGGTCCCAGGAATTGTGTTTGGGCACAGTGCAGAATCGTCAAGACATAACAATCAAATAAATATGTCGTCTGAGTCCCGAGAATTAGTTTTTTGGATCGCTTCAGGGACTTCAAGCGTTGTGCCCAAACGTGGCAGTTCCCTTAATGAGAGTGAATCGTTGTAGGGGCCTGCGACGGAATTTGGAAGAGGGTTGATTCCAACATCGTTGATGACTCTTGGGTTTCCTCCTCCTGAATTCGAGATTTCCAGATCGGCCAAGGACCCGCTTCGCCCGGGAGCAGCGCATAGCATTGGCAACGAGAGAAAGATTAGAGAGATGGCGCCTCACGCGCCCCCTCCCTGCTGAGGTGCGCGTTGCGCCCGAAACGTCGCTTCGCGATCGGGTCGATTCCATGCCTCAGCATTCCCAGTGGCTTCGGAACAGTCTCGTGCCTAAATGGGTGGCGGTCACCGCATGCGGACCCTGCCACTGGGGCCTTCGGTGGAGCTCCCTGTGAGGCCACGAACGTGCGACGGGTGTGCCAAAGTGGGTGGCGGTCCCCGCATGCGGACCCTGCGACTGGAGCCTTCGGTGGAGCTCCCTGTGGGGCCACGAACCGTGTGAGGGGTGTGCCTAAATGGGTGGCGGTCCCCGCATGAGGACCCTGCCACTGGGGCCTCACGAACGTGCGACGGGTGTGCCAAAGTGGGTGGCGGTCCCCGCTTGAGGACCCTGCCACTGGGGCCTCGGTGGGGACTCGGGTGGCAGGTTTCTAACAGCACGCGCACTCAATGTCTGGCGAAACAGAACACGTGGAACACTAATGTATGGGCAACGGTGCATCAAGGCCCCCTCCCCACAACCGGTGTGAGGGATGGGTTTGGCGGGAAATCCTGGGCAGGCCTGGGCATCGGTCGCACTCCTGCCGCGGTCTATGGATATTTCTCGCGCACAGCCAACCCTTCCCCCAACGTCCAAGCTCGTGCCGCCCAATCGGGTCACTTCCTGCTCCCCCTCCTCCTCCTCCTCCTCCACCTTCTCGTCCGCCTCCTCCTCCCGATCCTCCTCCTCCTCCTGCACCTTCGTTTTGCATTGGACAAACTTCAGCTGCAAGGCTGTCGCGGTCGTCGTCCTCCCCCTCCTCCCTTTCCTATTCCTCTCCTCCTCCTCCTCCTCCTCCCCCTCCTCCTCCTCCTCCTCCTCCTCGATCGTCCGCGTCCTCGTCCTCCTTTTCCACCTCCTCGCCCCCCTCCTCCTCATCCTCCCTCTACTCCTCTTCGTCCTCCTCCTCCTCCTGTTCCTATTCATTTTCCCCCTCGTTCGTTTCTACGTTTGCGGCCTTAGGGAACAGGGTGGAAGCCCGATCGTTGAGGGTGGACGACGATCTAAAAAAACGGACGAGGGGAAAGAGTGGAGGCGGCAACAGAGCCAGCAACCAGCAACAATGATTGATTGGAATCTTCGTGGGTAAGGTACTGTCCTGTTAAAATCCGGCGGCGACTGAATCCATACCCAACGCCAATGTGTGTCAACGAACGGGTCCACACCGCATAAACAAATACATGATGGCGGTGGGATCCATTCGCCACATGCGCCGTCAAAGTTGTATTGATGTCGTAACCAAACTTCGTCGATGTATGTCCATACGCGGCCATCGTTGGTCGGCACAAGCCTCGTAGACCCTCATGGGGTCGGTGTTTCTTCGTCCGTCGCAACGCCCATATGACTCTTTACCCCTGAAGCGCCTGTGGGTCGTGGTCGGCTCAGTCGGAGATGGAGGGGGAGGCTGGTGCGTCAACAAAAACAGCGGGGGGCACCTAGGCCTCCTGGACAACACATCTCCCCTATGACCCTGCAGAATGATGGGGTGCACCTTGGCATGCGCCGCGTTCCAAAGCAAGGTACCCTCCCGAATGGCAGCGCGGGGTCTCTTGTGGCATCGCTTGCAATGCGTCCAGAAGAGCCCCAATGTGCACCGCCATGCGGCAGGTGGGCTTCT